TTGGTTGGGGTAGCATCTATTGCCTTCAATAACAACCCACGAAAATCAGAAGGTTCATTAGTCTTAGAACTGCCGGGATTAAGCATTTGATCTGAAAATGTATAGCTTCCCACCTGCTATAAATATTAATAAACTGATAAAAAAAGAAAAAAGAAAAAGAAAAGAAGAGTGATTAAAGTGAGGATGAGTGGATAGAATAATACATCAAAAAGACTGGGACGGCGTTTTCTCTTGTTAAGGCTGCTCCGTCTAAGGAAATATTTCTGTGCATGACTCGCTACTTGTGTTGGAGTTCTTGTGGTCACAAACTTCTTAGAGATGCCTCTCCAGTCACCCTTTCCAAGCTTTTCCAGCCCAATCAGGAAGATCCGGTGCTCCTCTTCAGTCCACGGCACACCTGAAACCAAATACATCTGCATAATTAGAGACGTACAAGAAATATTGGTTTGATAACAGTGACAAACATACACGCAACTTTAGAATTAGAGTCTCCAAATTTAACCAACCTTTTTTCCTATCTTGAGCAGGTGCAATAAGGCCATCAGAAAGATAGCCATTAGAACTATGATGGATGGTAACGCGTGAAGATGTTGATAAAGAAGGTGTTGGTGAAGAAGAAGATGTTGACAGGGAATCAGTGCTAAAACTCTTCTTCATAGGAATGGAAGATAAGGGAAATTGAACTCCGAATAGCCTAAGTCCACCAGCAACAGCACCACGGGAGGTACAAGTCCTTGAATTATGGCCTGTGTTCCCGCAATGTGAGCATTTTCTACCCATTTTCACCTCACAAAACATCAACACTAAATTAACGGTGAAGGAGATGAAATTGTTAGTGGTATGGCTTTTATATATATATATATATACATATATATAATGATGGCTTCAATGAAAATATTGTTTTCTTGGTTGGATATTATTTTTCTACCCAAGGTTTTGTAATCAAGTCAATACCTTTTTTTTTTTCTCTCTCTATGAATAAACGACATCTAGTTTTAAAAGTTTGATTGAATAGACGTAAATTGTTTTTTATTTAAGACTAAAAAACAGTACCTCATACTAATAAAGCTGTTGGTATAATGTATATGACAATATATATAAACTGTACCCCCACTGAGAAGAGATCTCAATTAAATAAATAAATAGACAGGGGTGGCCCTAATTAATTATATATGTACGCCGTTAGTTATATAAATAATGATGTTCACGATTAGATTATGAACCGTACGCATTAAGATTTAAGAAATAAGAATATGATATGATAGAGAAAGGGTTGTTGAGTTGGAGAGAGTAGTGCAAATTAAAGGACCTATGTTTTGAAAGTGGGTAGCTTGGAATGACTTAAAAATGGGAGAAAGAAAGAAAGAAAATATTAGGGAGAGGAAAGGTGATGTTGATCAACCAACACAAATTTTTAGTTGGAAATTTCAATCAAGTTTTTGGTTTACACAATTGTCGAAAGTAAGATTTAATGCTTAGATATAACATAATCTAAATTAGATGACAAAAGGATCAAAGCATTTATATGTCATATCTATGGACGACGTTGTTCCCAAGCAAAAGGACCAGAAAAGTCCCAGAAAACATCATAAATTTCTTATCCTGATGGTTTTGTTTCTTGTTTTATTTAGAAGAACCAATAATTTTCTCTGCTCCATAGGACGTACTTTTGATTTACATGCACTTCTTATCATCTCAATTCTACAAGTACTCCGTTGACTTTGTATTTAGAATGATATAATTATTGTAGCTTAAGAATACATTGGAAAACATGTATGGCTGAAAAAATGAAAACAATATTAATGATGAAGGAAGAAGAAGAGAAGATGAAGATGAAGATATAAATATTTTTTGCAATTGCATGAATGTGGGCGGCGGTGGCTATTTATGCTTGGAATTTAGAAAAAACGACATAAATATTACCCAACAGATTATCCTTGTAAATTTAAAACGTTTTGAATGAAGAAATAAAATGCGTTTGACTTCCTTCCTGCATATGCATGCATCTTTTTCTTCTGGTTTATGTAATTCAACCAAATGATGATCTGACTAATTTACCTTTGTGAATGGCATTGTGTAACACATGGGAATGGATACATCGAATATCTTGATATGGTAATTAGCTAGCTACTTAAATTATTTCTTCATCTTACGGATCGGAGATAGATGGTTTTCAGATATTGCTAGCGTCATTGATATCTTGTCAACTACATTTAGACACCATTAATTTATCAAAACACGAATCAGTCAGAGAGTTTCTCATCTCCAATGGTGGGCATGAAACTTGAGTGCCATAATCTATAATAATAAATGTAGCAGGACATTACCACTACCCTTAAATTAATGGTGATAGGTGAACTACAACTTGCCCAATTGTTTGATCCACCAGTCTCAAATAGGGTTTATTTGAAAGTAGAGATTAATTAAATTTAGGTGATCAATCAAAACCCCTACATCTGTTTTCATTAATTTAATCTATAACATGTGGATTCACGTTTTTTACTACTTTCTACTCAATCGTCTTATTCATTACATTAACTTAATCTAGTAGATTTACTTTCTTGGCATAATTAAACATTCATTAATTAAGAATGTCATGAACATGAACTCCTTTTCCTTTAACTGCGCACTGCCATATATATATTTAAATCCACAATCGAAATTGTTCTCTTATGTCAACACCCGCAAAAGAGTTAAAAGCATGCAATTCTAATAGGTGGCAGTGAAAAGAATTACACTAATTAATATTCTTGCATGAATGATTAATTATAAATATATTTTCCGTATCTAATTGATTATGTGTATATTGGAGCACCTCACTGCCAAGAATTGATATTTGACCTATCACATAAGTATCACATGGTGCATATAGTTTCAGCAATAATAATGTAATATTAGTTTAGTCTCTTAATCTTAAATCAAAACTCTTGTAATTATCAATCACCATGAGGGGATTAACAAGTTCTTCTGTTTCTGTACTTAATGATACGCTACTGCCTTGTAAATTAAGGGATGAAAGCTGACAAATATAATTAGTGGAAGCCAACTCATTTTAGTTTTATATTTCAAAGTTTTCATGACTGAGACGACGTTAGGTGCAAAACCCATCAATATCATATCATTTCATCTGATTATATTTATATATATAATTAATAAACTATATATATATAAGAAGAAAGAATATTCACATATATCTGACTTTAATACTGCATTATTATTTACATTTAAACATGCAAGTAGAAAATATGATTGTACGTATTTAATTGTCATTACAAATTTAATTAGCTAATCCCAGTTGGTATAATTAAAACTTTATATACACTAATCCCAGTCGGGCTGGCAACTGAAGTGAAAGATCAATTCACAATTGAAGTTGCTTTTTACAAAACCGAGTCTGAGATCGACAAGATCAATATATACTGTGAAACTATTGAACAGTTGTTTTGAATTTTTAGCTAAGAACCCTAGGACAAATAATGGCCAAGAAGATAGTGCTACTTCTTTTGTGAACATGAAAGAGGTCAAACCAATCCGATAACCAAAATTCAACCATATTAAGCAAAGGTCTTCCGAGAACGAACAATAATCTGTTTCATAGGCAATTTGCTTGGCCACATCATTGATATCATAGGACAATTGAATTTTCATTTTCCGAATAACCAAATAATAATAAGTTATTTATATAGTTTAGGGTTGTTTGTGTTTTTGGTAGGACAATTGAATTTTCATTTTCCGAATAACCAAATAATAATAAGTTATTTATATAGTTAGTGTTGTTAGTGTTTTTGGTATTTCTGCCATTGAAAGAAAGAACAAATCTTGGATTGAAAGGAGAGTGGTTTGAATAATAATAGGACAAGTAGCTTTCCCAATTAATTTTTGACAAAGTAAATTAGTCAAATTATTCATTAAGCAAATAATTAAGTTTAAGGTAATACCTAACACCCTTTCTTGACCACACAGCACATCATCCCAAACCTCAAAAATATGATCTATTCCAAATTAATGACTTATCAACTAATCTCGGAATCAAAGGATAAATGTGAAAGCTCTCCAAATTCTAAAATTCTTGCAACGTACACCCTCTCTTTTTATTAACTACCTTCTCTTTTAATTATATTGAGTCATTTCTTGATTGTATCAAAATGATGAGTAATTGAGCCAAGCATGACATCATATATCAATTCAATGATTAGGGTTTAAGAGATATGTTCAAATATGATATTATAAATATTGGTTAGGTCAAACATAACCAACACTGCGGTTGATGAATTGTTTTCTTCACTTGAACAATATTGTTATTATTATTATTATTATTATTATTATTATTATTATTATTATTATTATTATTTCTTGAATAAGATGTAACAAAATTATAACCTTACACTAAATCATTCATTCAAGCCAATTATATATTATACACTTTATGTAACATATTGATTAATGTATTCATCATTTGTTATAACAATTAATGAACATATTTTACTATAAATAATTTCCTACTTAAAATAGATTTAACGTCATATCTAGATATTCCTAGATCTGGGCTGCAATTTCACTAGGAATTATTTGGGCACTGCTTCTAATAAATGATTCTTTCCATTAACTATCAACAAAATTTTGGTTTTCATTGATATTATTGATTTTGTGTTGAAGTTTTAATAATGTTAAGATTAGTTTGCCTTTGGTCATTTGAGCTCAGATACCAATCCAATTATGTGATATTACACTGTTTAAATTTTACAAAAATAATAGTTATTATAATATTATTTTAGTTTATGCATATGGAAAACTATGATAACCGACCTGTGTGAAACTAATGAACATGACAATCAGTCGAAATTATGGTTAAGACTCTCCTCTTATCTCCCCCTCCCCCGCCCCCCAACACTTACACCCACCCTTCTAACATCATCTAAAATGATTAGTGAAAATTAAACATATCAAGAGCATAAATGAAAACATATATATTAAACATATCAAAATTGTAAATAAAGAATATATATGTGATCTTTTGCTACTCTTACCATTATCAGATTATTACAACACCCTTGAGGTTGAGGGAATGTTTAGAAATATGAAAGAAACATGAAATAAATGTGTGAGAATAAAATATGAAGAGAGAAATGTATGTAGGGAAGAAATGTGAGAGAAGTTTGATAAAAGAACAATGAAAAAGCAAGAGAAGTATACAAGAGATTTTATTTTTTTTCTTCACAAAACCTCCTCTTCCTCCACAGAAAGATAAGAGTTCTTATTTATAGAGAAGTCCAATACAATACATACAAGACACATTAAAAAGCCATTTATTACATGGCTTCAGACAATTGACTTTTTTGGATTTTTTTTTTTTTTTTTACATTTATTTGCCTGTAATATTTGACTTTTATAATTCATACAGAAGATATTACATTAGAGTTGACAAACTGTCATTTAGTCTACACCTATTTTACAGATTAACATAAATGACATAAGTATTTACTTTAAGACACGCAAAGCTTTAATCATCTAACAGGTTTGTAACATGCCACCAGTCTTCATCTTGGAAATCGAGACAACCTATTGCTTGGATCCAATTACCATGAATATGTCAAGAAAATGAATCTGGATGAGTATCCGGAGAAATGTCTGGAAACTGAGATGGCTCCCTTGTAGAGGTACTTGATGCATGCATGTATTGCTATCGCTTAGATTTATGAAGGTAGTAATCACGAGACTACTGAAGCTCTTCTTCCTGCATAGTATTTGACTGTGAGTTTAGGTACCACCATTCTGAATAATCTGAACTGACATTTAATTGAGCAGTGATGGAACGTATGTTTGT